CAGTTAAGAACATTTGCATCATGAGCAATAGGATACCAGTAAAATAGTAAGGCATTCAAATAAAATGTATGGTACAAAAAACCCACTAATTTGATCAAAGGGAAAGGTAGAATAAATGCTGAATAACAACCTGAGTTGGAACTTAACAGAAATAAAGGTCATAGATTGGCCAGAAAGAGTTTGGGTGTGCATTTATAAAATAACATTGTATTTTACATTTACCTCCTACCTTGTGGGGCTGAAGTATTTATTTTAGAGCAGTGACTGGCCAAAATTTCTGTAAAGTTAGTAAATATTTTGGGGATTCTGGGCCATACAGTCTCTGTCCCAACCATTCATTTTAACTGTTCAAGTGTAAAAACGGCCAAGACAATATTCAATGAATAGTCCAACAGGTTGGTCCCACAGGGCACAGTTTGCTGACCCCACTGCATAGGATTCTATAGGACCAAACATTTGGTAGGAAAGAATCATGGATAACAAATTTAAAACAGGAAATCAAGGTAAAGTTTAAGTAGCTCAGACTAACAAGTGTGATAGAACCTTAGTTATTAAGAGTTTCTACAATGTGAGCAAGACAGTTACAGTTAAATGAATAAAACTTGCTTGGGAAATAGGAGACTATGCTATACCTGCTCCTTATAGAGTGATGCTTGGGCAAATCACAACTCTAGTCAGTTTCCTCATTTGAATTTACCTGTTTGGGCTTCAAGGGCTGTGTGAAAATTTTAAACTCAGTAGAAGCAAGACAACTCCTGCACCTGCTTTTCTTTGACCAACCAGATGTGGCAGGGCAGGTCTATACTCTAGCAGCAGAGTAGCCAGTGGCTGTTTGGTCTCATGCCACACTCCAAGAGACCCAACTACTCTCACTCTCTGTTGACGGGTTAGATACATGTATACACATATTCATATTGCCATCTAGGTTTTTGTTTCGTGGTGCTAGGGACTGAACTCAGGGCCTTGTTCATGCTAGGCAAGCTAGCAACTACTGAGCTATATCCTCAGCCCTCATCTAGTTTTAGTGTCCTGGAATCCATGTCTCTGGCTTGTCAATATGCTATTTAAAAGTAAACACTACATTTCTGTAATAAATAGCCTATAATCCAATTTCTTCACTCATTCTCATATATTCAACACTTAGAGTGAAGATTAAATTTAACATGAAGGTGGCAAAGTATTTTACCACTGTCCATCACTCCTCCAAATCACGGTAGGAACTGAAATAATCCTTCCTAAGGAGCAGTTTGATTTTTACCTTCGTAATCTTCAAGCACAAAACTGACATGCTTTTTGCCATAGAAGCTAGAATGCCTTAGTGTTATGACACCCAGTGTCTCAGTGATAAGGCTCTAAGTAAGAGGTCTAGAGTGGGAGGAACAAACTGACTTGGCAAGTTATAAATCTTTTACATTTCTGTATGCTGCAATGGGTTTTTCAGCAACTGACTTTACACCTATTTTCATGTGTGTTTAGTACATTAAATTTACTGGTAAACACTTGAGTTTCTATAATTGGGATTTCTGGGAAATGAAGCAATATATTCTTGGAAGCTCTAGGAACAGGACAGCACTCAGAGTTTACATAAAGAAGCCCCAGGTGCCACCAGTGTAATCAAGTGGCCC